GAACACCTCGAAAAAGAATATATCAAAACTCCAAAGCGTGCAGAACTTCGCGGCACGCGTTATTACTGGAATCAGAAAATATGACCATGTGACGCCTATCCTTCAGCAGTTAGCTTGGCTTCCAGTTGAGTGCATGTTAAAACTCAGTGATGCGCGGTTATGACATTTAAGTGCATGAAAGGGTTAGCTCCACCATACTTGTGTGACAAATTCGAAATGAGATTAAAGATCCACAGTGTTAACACCAGAAATAAGGATAAGTTAGACATTCCACTGTATAATTCGGCTTCTGGACAGCGAACGTTTCATTATCGCGCAGTGTCTATTTGCAATGAGCCCCCAAATCGTATTAAAGACATTGACCCTTTGGACCGGTTTAAAATAGAATATAAACGTCATTTATCGCATGGATTTTTAAAAAGTAGGTAATAGTATTAGACAATTTGGACTTGTTTAAATTAGCATATAAACGTTTTTACTGTATGGATTTTATTAGGAAGTAGTTAATCATTTTTAAAGTGACATTATTAATAATTATAAAATTTTTAATTTGTGTTTGTATGTATGTACGTATGTTTATGGGTGTATATATATATATATTGTTTGTAGTATATAAATGATTTGTAATTACCTGCTGAAAAGCCCTTTTGGGAGCAGGCAATTTTGTAGTAATAATAATAATCTTATCTTAGGATTTCAATATCTTAGGATATCAGTATCTTAGGATTTCAATATCTTAGGATGTCAATATCTTAGGATATCAATATCTTAGGATATCAATCTCTTAGAATATCATACGGTATCTTAGGATTTCAATATCTTAGGATATCAATATCTTAGGATATCAATATCTTAGGATATCAATATCTTAGGATATCAATATATTGGGATATCATTGTCTAAGGATGTCAATATGTTAGGATATCAGTATCTTTACTTAGGATATCTGTTAGAATATCAACATCTTTGGATATCAGTATCTTAGGGTATCAGTATCTTAGGATATCAATATCTTAGGATATCATACAGTATCTTAGGATATCATACAGTATCTTAGGATATCAATATCTTAGGATATCAGTATCTTAGGATATCAATATGACAATATCTTAGGATATCAGTATCTTAGGATTTCAATATCTTAGGATGTCAATATCTTAGGATATCAATATCTTAGGATATCAATATCTTAGGATATCAATATCTTAGGATATCAGTATATCTTAGGATATCAATATCTTAGGATATCAGTATCTTAGGATATCAATACCTTGGGATTTCATACAGTATCGTAGGATATCATGCAGTATCTTAGGATATCAATATCTTAGGATATCAATATCTTAGGATATCAGTGTCTTAGGATATCAATATCTTAGGATATCAATATCTTAGGATATCAATATCTTAAGATATCAATATCTTAGGATATCAATACCTTAGGATATCAATATCTTAGGATATCAATATCTTAGAATATCAATATTTTAGTATATCCATATCTTAGGATATCAATATCTTAGGATATCATACAGTATCTTAGGAGCAAGACAAAATTTGATATAAATTATAATTAACTCGTACATAACCAATAACTCTCTGTTTGTATTCTTTCTGTTTCAAGTTCGCTTGCTGAAATACAAACAACCTAGGGTGGGCGGGTTAATGTATTTGTAATGACTGTGTATTATGCAAATAGCGATCATGCATAACAACGGCGTTGGCAACCATGTTAATTTAGCGACTGCTTAGTTTGGTTTGAAATATGTTTTGTATGCGATTTTTTTATTTCTGGTTGGAAAGTTATTGCTCAAAACGGCTCCTTGAATTGAGAGCCATCAAATTCATTAAAAGAATTAGAACGAATTTCGATTGCGTGTTGAAAATAAAAGAGGGATTGGGACTCACAACGTGCTACATGGTTGTAAGGCAAAAAAGTTTCTACCGTACCGGGGTCGAAACGGTGACCTATGGAATACTGACTTGGTAATAACTACAGTCCTTAGCTCTACCAACTGAGCTGACGGTAAATTTAAAAAGCTAACTTCTATTTCATACTTTTATACATGCAAACTATATCAGAAACCTCTTGTGGTTTTATTACAAATTTGTCAGAAACTAGTTGTGATGGTAATTGGTCGCGTTACTCTATTGTGACGCTAATTGGTCGCGTTACCTGTCACATTTGGTCCAGGCTTGCCCAGCAAAGTGACGTCTTAGATTTTGCAAGCTCATTATAAATTCCGGCAGAGTGTTAGCTGAACCAAGTGACGTTAAAGATTTTTCAAACTCATTATAAAATTCGCCAGAGTAAAATTTTAGCTGAACAAAGTGACGCCATAGATTTTGCAAGCTCATTATAAATTCCGCCAGAGTGTTAGCTGAACAAGTGACGTTAAAGATTTTTCAAGCTCATTATAGATTCCGCCAGAGTTTTAGCTGAACAAAGTGACGTCATAGATTTTGCATACTAATTACTTCCGAAGCAAAGTGATGTCATTGTCGGCATCCTTTGTACTCCAGCGTGGGGGTATCACTACTGATGCACGATTATAGGCCGTGGGATGAGCATCCAAAAGATGCAATTCCGTTGCACCCCTCGTGGAACTACGTAATTTTCACATGGATAAATAGATAAAAACTTACTTTATCAGAGTCCGTTGCTCCCCAAGTGAAACAGGTGCACAATTGGGAGAAAAATCCCTCCAAAGTTTGATATTTTCGCACTTCAAAATATTCGAACCGCCATTATTTTGGTAGCAAATACGCATGCGCAACTCAGCCAAACTCGCACTGCGCACGCGCAGACTATAAAAATAGATTCTCACTGGGGGGTTTCCCCGATTTCCTCCGCAAAAACAACAAAATAAAATCACGGAATACTGATCAAACCTCGTAATATAAATACACCCACATTAAATATTGTTAAAAACACATTGTATATTTTGCTTGCTCATATGCTAAATTACTTCAATCATTGGCTATTGTTTCAAAATACCGTTTTAAAGGGGAAGTCAAGTCCGTAATGTAAACAAACGGTTTGTTTACATTTTGAACTGCTGCATTTTTTAAAATATGATGTACTGTCTGAATATCTAACACCATTTTGGTTCGCTATGCTTCTAAATAAATATGAAATAAAGTTTATGTTCAGAAAAATTCGAAACATTCGAAATTTGGGCAATTTTCACATTAAAGGTCCTCTCATTGTTATGCGCAGAACAGATGCGCAGAACGGACTTGACTTCCCCTTTAACGTTTAGTTCTACTTTATATTAAAGGTAGGTTACAGTCCCTTCTGCGCATGTCTGTGATTGTTTTTGCCTGGGGACTCCACCGGAAGTTGGGAATCTCGGTTTATACTCGGTCCAGTCTCATTTCTGGCAATAACACGCGCGTTGTTTTTTTCCCAAGCGAAGGAGTGAAGCAGCTTCACTGAAGCTAGAAGTTTCCAAAATATATTGAGCTTTTTTGAGCGAAAATCCTTCAAATAACGAGTTTTTGAGGCAACATGACGAGTAGGAAAGAATACCACGCTAGCAGGGATGCTTCCAAAGTGTATCAAAGTGTATCTATTTTATTGTTTTCCTCGATGGAGAGCGTGCCAGTCTGTCTGCGTTTCCCCATGATATACCTACTACATCCTCAAGCTTCTACTAAAGGTTTTGAAGAAAAGAATCCAGGAAGGATTGGACATTTCACCCAACATAGCTGCTATTCACTCCCTTCACTGTGGATACTTTAATGAAATCGCTTGTTGAAGCCCATCAATCGAGGTTTTAATGACTATAAAATTCTCTTTATTTACTATTTTAAATTTTAACTATACACTATTGTTACATACGAACTGTTCTATCTCTTTTATTTCCAAACTGAAACCCATATAATTAAGGCCTAAAGATCTGATCGATACTCGTGAGTAGGAGTTGTCAATGAAAAGTGTTAATGAGCAATTTGGAGTCAACATGTCTTGGATGGCTGTTTATATAGTGTTTATTGTTGGCTGTTTATATAGTGTCCAGATTGATAAAAGATATAAATTAATCTACTTGACCGTGCTTTACTGTCTTTGACTGTCTTCTCATGGACAACTTGTGCTCACTTAATAGAAACACATAAAAAGTTTCTCTGATCAAAGTATATTTTAATCAAAGCAGCTTACAGCCCTCGAAAATGAGGTCGGCTTCGGCAATGCCGACCTTAATGCCGACCTATCAACCTCCCAGGCCGGCAAATTTTTGCCGACGTTAATTCGGCAAAAGTAAGAATTTTTTGGTGCTGATAGCTGTTAAAAAGTCAGCGATTATAAAATTTGATTTGTAGTTCGATTAACTAAACACACTTTGGTGTAAGGTTTAAAAATTAACGTTTAAAAATTAAACCGCCTAAGACATTTAGTTTATAAAATATTTTGATCACAGAAACTTATATGATGTAAACAAACTCAATTAATAATTACTAGTATATTTTTCACCCTAATTGTGACTAAAAGCTTGCATATACTGTAAGAACCTACAATTTAAGAACCTGTCAGGCTAAATTTTTTATTTAGACACCCTAAATAAGAATTTGTTTAGGCTAGCATTTCAGGTTCTTATTTTATCACATGAAGACAATTCAAATCTAAAAATGTATATATAAATCAAAGACAAAAAACTCTTCACAAAGTAATGAAAATTATCCAGAACACTGAAAATGTCATTGAGATAAATAAAGTGTTAGCAGCTTTACAGTATAGCTTTACACACAGCTATTAGTTAGATAATTTGTGCACAATTTATATACAGTATATATGTATATATATATATACATGAAAATTATACCTCACATACCAAAAATGAATCGCTTTTCTTTAAGAATTTAACCTAATTTCCAAGCTCTAATGATCATGTAGTCACTACATGTATTGTCCAAGGTGGGATCTGGGGGGTTGAAATCCGAGCTTTCTTTCTCCTAGATGGATTGCCTCCTACACAAAGCAATCTGAAACACAAGCCAGTTCATATTGTACTATGATTGCCTGATCTTGTGTCAGTACTTTCAGGGGGGCCAATAATTGTTTGTAAATTATTTGTATTAGCCTATCATATAACCCAATAAATCTGTTAAGAAAAAGAAAGACTGATTCGTTGATGTAAATAAAAATTTCATCAGTGTTTCCTGAGCATTCTGATAGTGAGCTCTGATATACAGCGAAACAAGCATATATTTAGCAATTGTCCTCTGTCTTGAAGAGACATGAAGAACTAGTAACGTGATCACTAGATTGACCAGAATTGTTTAAGTTAATATTACTATTAGATCATTCAGTGTCACAAGAATGTCCTCTGTCTTGAAGAGACATGAAGAACTAGTAACGTGATCACTAGATTGACCAGAATTGTTTAAGTTAATATTACTATTAGATCATTCAGTGTCACAAGAATATCATCATTTAGTGTCAATATGAGAGTAATATCAATGAATTCATACTTCCAGTTCATAATTTCAAAACATACA